AGATAAGCAATTCCAACCCGATCCAGCACCAGCTGACTGTCAGAGGTGTGCCGCTGGGCGCGGAGGTGGTACTGGAGGGGCCATTAGAGAAAACTTTAGTACGGAAATGACACTTCAAGTGAATTCTAAAGGAGGACTGGAAATTGGGAGGGAGGGAGGGAGGTGGGAGCGGGGGGAATACAGACTTGGAGTGGGAAAAACAGGGATGAGAAAGGAGGATGAGCAGAGACCAAATCGTGTGCCTTCACACACGACACAGTGCGCAGCGGTGACGGCGTCCTGGGGGAACGACAGATGAGTGGGAACCTTGAAGAACGTGGCAGCCTGATTGCAAAGGGTCTTCACGGCCAGGCTGCTGGCTCTGCGTTTTGTCCTGTGGAAAGGGAGCCGGCAGAGCTTTCCGGGTTGTGGTCAGAGGGCCACATGGGGCGGGGGGTGCTTTGGTTCCGAGTGCCCACGGAGAAGATCACGGTGGGGAATGAGGGAAAGAGATGCGATGGCTATCTTTAAACATCGAAAGGTTATCCAGGAAAAGAGACAACATTCATTCTGGGAGGCCTCGAAATGCAGAGCCAAGACAAAGTGTTAGAAGGCGGAGTTACACTCAGCGAGCGCGGCCGAATCAGAAGTGTCCGCAGGATGGCACCGCGTTCCTCCCCTCTGGAGGGACAGAGGACAAGCCGGGTGGCCATTTGACAGGAACGCCTGTGCTGTATTGACGTCAGGGTTAGAGCTGCTCGTCGGAATCTCCGAGGAGCATGTTTTTTAAATACCTGTGACCAGGCCCCACCTCCAGAGATTTTGCCTGAGTCTGAGTCGAGCTGGTGCGGGGTCCTGGTTCCGGTGCAGTCTGACCCTGACACTGGGGAGCCGCTCCAGTAAAGGGACCTCTGTGGTCTTTTCCTCAGACTCTGCGGTGGAGATTTTAGGATTAAGTGGATTGGTTGGCTGTGAGAGGACGCCTGGGTGAGGACCTGGGGAAAATAAAAAGCAGGGAGCCAGCAGGGGACTGAGAATCCTGTGAGGGCACTTGGGACCTGCTAGTGCTGGTCTGAGCCACCTTCCTGTCCCCAGTGGGCCCTTGGACCAGCCCAGTGCAGCACAGTAAGAGCCCGATGAGGTATGGGAGCAATTGGAGGGGACCACTTGCCACCTCTCCAGTCCCCAGCTGAGCTGGCCTGAGGGCAGAATTTAACCGAAAGCCTGTGTGGCCTCCAAGAACTGGTGCAAAGGGAGATAGGTCTTGGCTGTCAGAAGATTCTGTGCTAGGGAATCTGGACCCCGGGGGCCCAGAGGATGAGAGGAAACTTTCCACAAGTGTTACTGCCATCAGAGCTGGTTAGGCCCTGGCTGATGTGTGGCTCAGTGGACTGAGTGGCGTCCTGCAAACCGAAAGGCTGCCAGTTCGATTCCCAGTCAGGGCACATGCCTGGGTTTCAGACCAGGTCCCCAGCTGGGGGCGGCATGTGGGAGGCAACCGGATCAGTATATTCCTTGAGCATCCATGTTTCTCTCCCTCTCTATCTCCCTTTCTTCCCCTCTCTCTAAAAATAAATAAATAAAATCTTTAAAAAAGAAAGAAAAAAAAACACTCCAGAAACTGTAATTAGTGAGCACATTCAGTCCTCTAACTTGGAAGAGGGAGAAATAGGTTGAACATTTTGACTATCTTATGAGCAAACTTTCTCAAAAGCCTTGAGTGTTTTAGCTCCCAGAGGGACAAGGGCTCAAACACTGCCCCACCTTCGTTCAGGTCCAGGAAGGAACTTCTGCACAGCCCACGAATCTTATCACTTCAGCAGTTCCTACTGTGCCTTTCTAGGGCTGACCGTGATTCTGCCTCCTCACTCAGGGGGCGTGGGCATGTTCTGAATCATCTCTGTCCTGTGTTACTAAAACCCACTTCATTTTCCCTACAACCTTTCCCTGGATGAGGGATGACTCATTCTTTATGGGGACTCACAAGCACCTCCCTCCCCCCACCCCGCCCTGGATGTCATCCCCAGCTCCTAAACCCCTCCAACTTCTTGCCAAGACAATTCCATCCGTTCCTGTAATTAGATCACCCTCCCACTTTGATCTCCAGACTTCCAGGGAGAAGAGGATGCAAGACACACTGAGGCTGGGAAGATCATTCATTCACCACATGTTTGCTGACTCCGGACAGGATCCCAGCCCTGTAGGATGTAGAGGTAATTTACAACACAGTCACTGTCCTCATAGAGCTCACAGTCTATCGGGGGAAATAAACAAATCAGACTAGTACAGTCAGTCTCGGTACAACCTATGATAAAGGTATCACAAACCACGCAGGAGCCCAAAGAGAGGGCGCTTCCCCCGATCACAGTAATAAGGAAGCCTCAGGGAGGAAGTGGCAGTTGCACTGACATTTGAAATTTCAATAGGAACTCTTGTCTGAAGAATTTCTGTTTCAGAAAGACTTGTTATAGGCGGAATGACGCAGAACCAGAGGCTAGTTCTGCTGAGGTCAGACAGGCCGCCCCTGGGACCACGGGACAGACTGAAGAGCGAGTCAGCCGGGCCTTCGAACAGGTGTCACAGGCACACGGTACAGCCGCAAACCTGCGGACGCAGCCCCAGCGGAATCCACTGCAATGATAAGGATTAAATGAGACAAAGTATGTGAAGCGCCTAGTTTAGAGAGAGTGCTCAGGAAATGGTAGCCGTTGTTGTTGCTATTGAATTGCATCGATAGCATCACAGAGGCAATTGGCAGAAGCTCCTTCTGGGAGAGGCTGTATAGAGGGTCTGGTGGAGGACTGTTATGTCCCAGCTGACCCTCTGCTGACTGGTGTTTATTCTTTTGTGGAAATGGACTCTTTGGAGAATCTGATGAAAGCTGTGAACCCTCTCCCCAGAAAAAGGCACATCTGCTCACAGGAAGCTTTGCATATTATTTAGGGGACTTCACAGACTCCTGGGAGCCTACTAGTCATGGAACCTGGTTGGACACAGCTGTTTCTCGACCAAACCTGGTGGAGAAAAGTTCCCACTATTATCTCACCTTTATTCCAAGTGAAAGCCTCAGCACATGTTGTTGCAATTCTGCGAGTACCTTGTGTGCTTTAAAACACCAGGTGGGCCCTGGCTGGTATAGCTCAGTGGATTGAGCACAGGCCTGCAAGCCAAAGGGTCTCTGGTTCAATTCCCAGTCAGGGCACATGCCTGGGTTGCGGGCCAGGCCCGTAGGAGGGGGCATGTGAGAGGCAACCACACATTGATGTTCCTCTCTTCCTCCTTTTCTCCCTCCTTTCCCTATGTCTAAATATAAATAAATAAAATCTTTAAAAAAAGAAAACACCAGGTGGCACGCAAAGGGATGGGTGGAGGAGGGAGACCAGTGAAGAGACCACTTTAATAGTCCGGGGAGAAGATGGGGCTTTAGCCCCGCAAAGCCCTCCCTGTGCTTGGTGTAATGCTCTGCCCTGCCGCCATTCTGAATTTTGTAACCAGGAGCCTTGCATTTTTATTTTGCTCTGGACCCCACAAATCATGCAGCCAGTTCTAGGAAGCAGATAATAATGCATTTGAATGCTTACTGTGTAAGCAGCTTACAAGTGTAGTGCTGGATCTGGCTTCCGGGCTGTTTGGGTCCAAACCGTGGTCTTAATATTATTATACTGCCTTCCGAGACAAGAGGGGTAGTGAGAGTGGAGAGGAACGGCAAGAATAAGGGCCGTTCTGGTTCTGTTTCTTCTGCCAGAACACTGTTCTCCACTCTTCTGCTTCTCCTTCTCTCCTCTTACCTTCTCAGGTATCAATGTCATTTCCTTGGGGAGGTCTTTCCTGGTCTCCAAACCTGAATTATGCCCCTTCAGTCTCTGTTCTACTCCTTCCTACCCTTAAAGCACCCATCAGAATTTCTCATTATGTATTTATTTGTGTGTTTTCTTGTTTTAAGGACAATTCCTCACTAGACTTCTTTCAATGAATGTAGAGACTGGCGTGTCCCCTTCTCCCCAGTGGAGAACCTGGCACATAGTAGGTATTTCGTAAGTACTAGCTGGAAGGTACAGTTCACAGGTCAGATGGGAGAGAGAAGCCGGGAGGGAGGATGAGGGATTCCCACCTGAGTAATACTCATCACCAAGAGACTATGGGAAGTCAGGCGTGGGGCAGGGATGGTGATTAGATAGATGGATTTGAGGTGTGTTTAAGCGTTGAGTGCTTCCCCAGGGCGTCTTGGAGAGCGCCGTTTTCTGCTGGCAAGCCCTTCCCGACTCCCTTCTCCACTGCAGTGTGGGTTAGGGGCTGGCCACAACCCCCACCCCCACCCCCACGCCCGGGCAGACCTGCCCCCAGGAGCCTGAGGGAAGCTCCCTCCGTGGGTTCTGGAACAGCAGGGCTCACCTCTGGATCCCAGAACTCCCAGGGATGTGCATGTAGTCCGGGCTCAATACGTGCTGGCAGAGGAAAAGAGGGAAGGAAGCGAATGTCACCAGAAGGGAAGCCGGGACGCCGAGCAGCGGGCCTGGGAACTGGAGTGGAAGGAGAGAGAGGGCCAGGGTTTGAGCACGAAGTCCCGAAAGACAGGGTGGATGGATTGGTGCCGGAGCGAGCACACGCACGGGGCTGAGTGCTTTGTTCACGTAAATGCATTTCATCTTCGTGGCAACACTGAAGCAGACATGATTATTCCTGCCTTGTTTAAGAACACTGAAGCCCAGAGAGGTGACGCGATTTGCCCAAGGTCACACAGAGTGAGCCAGCAGTGAAGTTCGGGGTTGACCGAAGGCTATCAGCCTCCAAGCCTGTACTCTTCCCACTTCACTCTCGGCCGCATCCCCCCAACTCTCCACTTCCCTACCTCTCCCTACCACCCTTCCACTCCCGAGGCCGCCCCGCCCCACCTCTCCCCTCCCTCCCTCCCTCCCTCCCTTCCTCTTGGTGGTGGCGGCGGCAGCGGCGGAGCCACGTGGTGGGGCCGGGAAGCCGCGGCCGCGGAGCGCCCGGGCGGCTGCCCCAGCTGGGCAGTGCTGCTCTGCGCCGCGCTGCGCTCGCTGCCTTCGCTCCCCGCTCCGCGCACCCCGCCAGCCGCCCCGGGGCAGGAGGCGCGCCTGGCTGTCGGCCGGTCAGACAAAGAAGGCGCGGCTCGGCAGAGCCAGCGCGCGGGTGGAAGGACCATGGACTCAGAGCGCAGGCGGCCCGCCTCAGCCCTGAGGACCCGGCGCTCCCGGGCCCGGCCCTAGGCGCTCGGCCCCGCCGCCCGGGGCGCCCGGAGAGAAGAACGCGGAGCCCGTGCGGTGCGGAGGACGAGCTTGAGGGGCGCCGCGGCGGACGGCCTGCGCGGCCCCTGGAGCCATGGGCAAGTGCAGCGGGCGCTGCACGCTAGTCGCCTTCTGCTGCCTGCAGCTGGTGAGCGCCGCGCTCTCGGGCGGCCGGAGCAGGGTGGGGCGCGGTGGGGCGGGGTCCCAGGGCGTGCGGGTTGGGTGCTGTGTCCCTGTGTGTGTGTCTGGTGAGAGGGCCAGGGTGGGGCGGGGGGGTCTGGAGTCAAGGAATGGACGGGTGGAGCCTGCTGCTGCTGGCCGTGCAGTCTCTTTGTGTGCGCTTCTCGCCCAGCGCTCCCCAGTCCCGGAGTGCGCCCTGTGCGCGAGTCCCGGGCCCGCCTCGCGCCTGGGGCTCCACGCGTCCGGCCCACACTGTACCAGGGGCCCTCCCGTTGGGAGGTGGGACCAGGCGCTGTGGGGCTGTGGCTGGTTGCGGCGGGGGGTGTGCTCGGGGCTGGTTTATGGATCCGTTGAGGTCCCTGCCGTTTGTTTTCCTCTAGATCACTCGTTTGCATGGGTCTCCCTTCCTCTGGGTTTCTGCCTCTTGGTCTCCGCCCCTGTGAGTGTTTCTCACAAAAGTCTCTGCGCCTGTGTGTGTCTCTCTCTCCGGTGTTCTCTTTGATATGTCTCTAGATCTCTGGCCATTTCTGGTCCGCGTTCATCAGTGTGTGTTGGGATCTTGTTGGGATACTAGACTCCAAGAACCGTTCACTCCTTTGTGCTGTTTCTGCCTCCCTTCACCCTCCTGATTGGGCAGGCCCCGGGAACGGAGAGCCACCTCCCTGGAGAGGGTCACAGGGAGCTGCCGGGCACTGAGCCAGTCTGACCAACCTGGGTGCTGAGCTGTCCTCCCTGCTCTGGTTGAGGCCACTGTGGCCGTGGGTGTTCCACCCGTCAGTCGTCAGTTCCCCCAAAGCACCCCCGGTGAGGACAGGCAGAGCAGCTCCTCCGCCTGGGCTGGCGCTGATGGCGGTGGGGATACTGGGGTGCTCTAGGGAGGATGGGCGCATCTGAGGACACTGTGCCTAACCCCAGCCGACGGAACTTGGGCTCTTGTCTCGGGGAGGCCAGGGGAGTGAATTCAGAAGCTGAAGGGGACCATCTGCCCTTCAACTCAGTCTCTGGCAGGTGGATTTGGGAAGGTGGTTAAGGAGAGGCCAGGGTCACCTGCCTTCCCTACAGCTGTGGCTCAACAACAAGAGGTTTTTGAAGCTGTGTGCTCCTCTAGGTAGAGATGCATGGGGACCTCCTTGGGCAGAACTCTCGAGTCTGAGTGTGAGTTGTGCTTGCCTCCGTGATCTGAGTCTCCACTTTTCCCTGCACCATTGCCCCTCCTCCACCATAGGTGCGTATAGTGATACAGAGTGAAGCTTTGAGCCTGGGGGTGCAGACCTCCCCATTCATCTTGCCTTTCACCTCCGGGGGACACCAGCCCCAAACCCGCCATCCACAGACCTGCCCTCTTGGGCAGCGGCAGAAACAGCCCAGCCTAGATCATTGTAGCCCCTGCTCCCAGCTGTGGGACACAGGCAAGTGACTCCCCGTCCCCGGGCTGCCTTGGTCCGCCTCTCTGTAGACTGCTCATCCTTGAGGGTTACAGAGGAGATGAATTAAGATCATGTAGAATGGAAACTCCAGAAGGGTAGAAATGATCTGTTTTGTTCCTTGCTAAATCCCCAGCAGCTGGAACAGTGCCTGGCACTCCATTAATATTTGTAAAATAAATGAATGAATCAGTTATTTTGGCAACTCCTGGCTCACAGCAGAAACACCTTTCTTTATGTACTTTGAGGAACATAAAATGCCAAGAAGTGCTGAAACAGGATCCTTTTCTCTGTTCATTTTGAAATTTTCAACTAGGACTTTTTATTGTTAGAAAAGTAATATACACATGTTGTAAAAGTGAATAAATCAATAAATAATCAAATGGAGCAGAAAATAAGGGTAAGTTTCCCTCTATGCCCAGTTCCATGCCCCAAAGGTAAGCACTTTTAATAGCTTGTCCTGTGCTCATTGTTACTGATAATAACGAGAGTTAGCTTTAGGGAGCACTGACTAGGTGCCGGGCACCCTTGTAAGCACTTTTCCGTGTAAATCCTCATAGTGACCCTATAAAGTAACTTGCCCAAAGTTCCATCGTTAGGAGCCAGGCTTTGCAGCCAGGCAGCTGACCAGCATCCCCTGTTGCCTTCCTGATTATAAAATAAGTAGCTTTGGCCCTGAATAGGTCAGGGGTCCCATGGGATGGGCTTGCTACTCTGCAGAGAGATGGAGGTGGCGGGTAGAGGCGATCTCCCTGCCTCCATAGCTTTCACCAGCTAAGTAAAACCCTCCCTTCCATGTTGAGGGTTCGCCAGCACAAGGGGTTCTGGAGTTAGATGTGACCTGGCTGGGACTCCGAATCTCCTACGTCTTGGCTGGGTGGCTTTGGACAGCTTTCGAGGGTTACATGAGATGCCTTGGGGAGGGGCTTGGAAGAGGGACTTGAAAATTGGCCTCTTGGCTCTGTTGCTCTGTGTGGGCTGATTGCAGAGTGGGTCCCTTCAGTTGTCAGCCCCAGGAGCCTCTGCTACCAGGCAGCTTCCGTAATGTGCTGGATGCTGGAATTCACCGGCCTGACATCATCCCGGGGAGAAGGGAGCCTATTTTGTCATCCAATGGAAAGGGACTGAGAAGGAAGAGGCTGTTGGTTTCTTGGCTGACAACTTTATAAAAGGAATTGTGTCATTTTCCTGTTTCCAATGGTGTTTAATCATTGCAATAAAACCGGCTAGTTCTAAACATTCTTCTGCTGTTGGGGTAGACTTGTTCTGGGGGAGGGAATAGGGTGAAAAGCAGGTGTCCCAGTCAGGTGAACTAGTATCGGGACAAGGCTCCGGAGTCTGGCTAGTCCCTGACTGTCACTTTCTAGCCCTGTGATCCTGGGCAAGTTGCTTACCCTCACTGAGCCACAGTTATGTCATCTGTTAAAGAGAGATAATGCTCCCAGCTCTTAGGGTTGTGAGGATTAAATGCTTCTCATGAACTTAGCAGTGCGCCAGGCACAGAATGAGATTCAGTGGACAGTAGCATCTTTTTTTTTTATTTTATTTATCTTTAGAGACGAAGGGAAGGAGAGAGGGAGAGAAATATCAATGTATGTTTGCCTCTCGTGTGTCTCTGCTGGGAACTGGCCTGCAACCCAGGCATGTGCCCTGAATGGGAATCAAACCACAATCCTCTGGTTCACGGGCCCGCGCTCAATCCACTGAGCTACACCAGCCAGGGCAACAGTAGCATCTTAATCGGGTTATACCAGGGAACGCTTTCCTGGAGTTGCGGCCCACACGCCCAGGGGCCCCTCACACTCTTGCTTCCTCCTGCACAGCAAGTGCTGGGCCCTGAGCTGAGAGCAGGAGGCCTGGGGTTCAAGCCTGGTTCTGCCACTGACATCCTGTAAACTCCAGCAATTCTTTTCCCCACTGCAAGCCTCAGTTTTCCCATTTGTAAAACGGGAAGAACCATTCATCTGTGTCGCCAGGGTCCTGCCACCTGTGCCCACCTGGGACTCTGGGATGAGATCTGGGCTGGCCTGGGGGTTCCGTTCTACAGACTGTCTTGGGTCCCTTGCTGTCCTGGCTTCTACGTGATGTATCAGCTGGACATTATTAATGCAATTCACGCCCTAATTTTTATGTGTTTCCCTTTGCCTTCTCCTGCCCTTCTTTCCTAGTCCACCTCCTTCCTGAAACTTCACAGGCCGCTCTATTCTTCCCGTAAGAGGATGCACCGAGGAGATTTACCCGAGGGAGTCATCATCAATTTCTTCATCATTGCCATTATTACTCCTATTTCTGGAGTCCTGTGCTAAGCACTTTATATGCATTACCTCATTTAACCAAATGAGCTTACATATATAAAGTGCTTGGCAGAGCGCCTGGGACGTGTTCAACACTCACTCGGTGGGAGCTGTCTTACTGTTTTTGTCCTTCTTATTGTTACTCCACACAATGGGAGAGATGTTCTTTTCCCCTTTTTCAGAGGAGGAAATGGAGGCTCAGAGGGGCGATGAGCTTTGCCCAGGACCTCCAAGCTAGTCAGGGACAGAACTAGGAGGCGGGCACCCTGCTGTTGGAACAGAGCCGCCCTCTCCGCCCTGGGCCACTCTGTGGCTCTCATTCAAGCAGTGTGTGACCCCAGACGAGTCTGTCTGTTTCTACGAGCCTCAGTTTCCTCATCTGAAAATGGAAATGATACATTTTCAACAGGATCATGCACATGCCGGGCACCAGGAGCCAGTGAGCGCTCAGCAATACATCACTGCCATGGTTGTTCTTGTCCCAGCCGTCTGTGACCTTGGCCACGTGCATTCACTCCTCTGAACCCCAGTGTCTTCCTCTGTCAATGAGAGTCGTCCCTACCTCTCAGCTGTAAAAAGGGCCTAGCCAGGTGCCATATCCATAGTAAATACTCAGAAAAACATCAGTTTTCATTCTCTTCCTTTCTGGAATGCTCTTTGCTTTCTGGAAGGTGGTGGGTGAGGGGGAAAATATGTAGCTTCCTGCTGAGCTGCGAGTAATGGTGTGAAACGTGGTCAACCTGATTGATGTCGTTATTAGCCACAGTGATGGCGAAGACCCGAGGGAGGCAGCTCCTGTGGGGGGCCGCGCTCTGGAGCAGCTGCGCCTGCAAGCTCGCGGCGTTCTGGGGAGCGGCTGGCTCTGCTGTGGGTGCTCAGGCTTCAGAGTCAGGAGCGTGAGATTGTCCAGGCCACTGACCGCTTTAGACAGGTGGGGGTTGGGGTGGTCAACTCCCTTTTGCAGATGAACAGACTGAGGCCAAACAGCTCTCAAGACCCTTGGGATGTCGGCAGAGCAGGGAGGAATGGAGAAGGGGCCCCCCCGGGGGACAGGGCAATGGCCCTGGTTCTTCTTTGCAGGGGTGGGTGGGTGATTTTGAGATAAGCTCCCCATAAATGGCAGCTGCTATAAAAATCGGCACAGGGGTTAGGAGCAATACCTCTCTGGTCAGACCGCCATTGCTGCCTTGCTTTGTGACTTCCGGAAAGTCTCTCACCCTCTCTGAGCCTCTGCCTCTCTCCTATAAAGT